GATCTGGGAAGCTCAGGGACAGGAAGCCTGCTCTGGGATCCACAGTGGGGGGGCTGGACCCTGCATCTGAGCCCACAAAGGCCGAGCACGCCGTCCTGCTAAACTCAGATGGGGGTAGCAGGGTCAGGGTTAGGAAAGTCATCGTATCCACTCAGTAAAACTCAGAATCGGAGACATTTTCACGTTCGGTAGCAGGGCACATCGCCTACACCTTGCCTGGTTGACGAAGGACCTCCTTGTACATCATCTCTCTTCTGATGTCCGTTTTCCTAACCACCTGAAAAGGCTGTAGGAGCGTCACGTGTCAACAGGCATATTTTGCAGGTGAAGAGGCTAAGGTTCAGAGAGGTCGCGGGCTGGTAAGTAGCAAAGCCCGACCTTTTGAGTGTGAACAGGGCACGTACACTACATTGCAGATAACGTGCTCATCTTAACACGTAACAAGATACTGAAAGAAGTCAAGCCCCAGGCCCACCTTTGCAATTCCAGTACACGCTCCTGGCAACCGTGAACCCCGCCCTCTCACCCGGGGCAGGGGGGAAAGGTCCACCCAAGGAAGTTCTTTCCCTAACACTTCTGACTGTGAAAATATGAACTCCTGACGCTCTACCCTGGCCAACGATGGGTCCGGAGGTTCTCCCATGGCCACTACCGTTAGGGGTGGGGGGAAAAAGATGGGGGGAGGGGGAAGACGGCGGAAACTGGCCAAAGTTCAGTGTGATGAGACGGTATCAAACCACTGCCTTTAGTTTATCAGTTAATTGCAAAGCAAACGGGCCAACGAGGACTATGTATCCATTGCAGGATCAATGGGGTGGGTGTAGAGCTCTTAACATGAAAAAGCGGTTGCAGCGTTAAAAAGGCTGCACTCAAAACCCCAACACGTGGAGGGAGGGCAGCAGAGCCCAGGCGCAGGAAGCAGTCCTTGCTGAAAACCCCACATGTTCACCCGGAGCTGCCGGAAGGCAGTAAATGCCCTGCAGCCAAAAGAATTCCTCTGGCCTCCCTGACCACTTATCAGGGCAGGCGGTATTTATCTTGACAGCGTTCCTCGGACCTATATTTGCATCCCGCCCCCCTCCAAATTTCCTCTTGGGCTTATCTCCAAGCCATCCTTTTCCTCCAAAGATGAAAGATTGAAACACAACCAGAGGGCAGTATATATAATCTTCAAAGAGCACTTTAGACACCATAAAGAATATTTTAACAGGCGCTATTTTTTTTTCCCCCTCACCACACCTGTCCTCATAAACCATTTATGAGTTTGGCAGAGAGAGAAAATATACCAGCTGAGATAAAGGAAGAAACAGCCCAGGAATGAAACCTTGGACTCTAGATTACTTGGGACCCCCTCCCCTCGACCCCCCAATCCCTGGAAGTTAGGGCTGCGGTCCTCCTCCCCTTGAATCCACCCCCCCCAAAAACCCTCCCCAGCACCCGGCCCCCACTGGGCTCCAGCAGCTCCTACCAGTGGCGCACAGAGCGATGAAGGTCTGAGCATGCTTGCGGATCAGAGACAGCTTCTCGCTGGGCTGAGGCAGCTTGCGAAGGATGTGCTCGATGAAGTCATGGGGGGTGACGGCCGCCAGGTTCCACTTCAACTTGCCCAGCACCACCAGCTCCCACTCCTGGGGACGGAGGGAGGCAGGGAAGAGTATAAAACCCACAGGCTGACCTGGCATCCGGGACTGGGGGCTTGGCATCCAGACCAGTCTTCATAACGATTCTCATTAGGACACACAGCTAGATTGGAAGGTGGGGCCATTTATCAGAGTGGCCCTAAAGCTTTGAAGTGGGTGACGGCTCTTCTTAGGCTTCAAAGGTCAGGCGCCACTGAAAATAATGAGCGCCCAGGTAGCTGTTGCCAAGATGGTACCTTCTTCTATTTCTCTGCCTCTCCAGCTCCCCGACCCACACCCAACCCTGACTTCCATTCTAGGGAATGCTTCTGCCCGCCCACCCAGAAGGTTGAATCTACAGTAAGATACCGCCAAGGTCATTGTAGCCCTTTGGTAGCAATTTATTGTATATCTATCACCAGATTAATAGTCTTTTTAATCCTCGTGGAAAAATGATGCACACAGAATAAAGCTCAAAATTAGGTTTCTTGGCCCAAATCCTTGGCAACCAATTAGCTTGCTCGTAGTTGGTGCCAAAAAGTGCCATTTTTCTCTCTGCTGCTAAAACTTTCCCCATGACACGTAATGCAGAAATCTTGGGAAATGATACTCAGACACGGGGCACCCTTCCACTGAAATGTTTCACCGGCCTTTGTTACCATGACTGAAGGACCTCATGGTCACTGGCAACCCCCTTGTGCAGCTGGAGGTGATTCAGGGCAGGGTGAAGGTCCTTGTTCAAGGTCATAGAAGCCCGCAGCCCAAATGCTGGCACCGTGCAACCCTGTCTCTTGTGGGCCTCTCACCAGCAACCCACCTAGTGAAAAACCTTGTTTCTCTCCCTTATTGGGATACGTTGGGGGGAACTGTGCTCAAAGGGAAACAAGCCAAAGAGAAAGCCTTAAAACTACGTGCAGTCAGAGGGAAAAACAGGCCCATCGATCTATCGTCATCAGCAGAATGAGCGACCAGCTTACCAGTGTAGTCCGTTCCCCCATTCACCCCAAGATACCGACTGTCTTCCACCTGCCAAGCCGGCCACCAGAGCCCTATTCTGCCTGCGACCCACAGCACCGGCTGGCTGTGTGGTCTGGGCCAACTCCCTCCCCTTCCCTGGCCTCGGCTTTCTTGTTGGTAAAATAGGAGGACTCCTCCAGTTCTCAACTTCTGGGATAAAGAGACAGAGACTGGAAAAAGGCAGATTTGTCTGCAGCAGTATAAATTTGCTTGGCAAGCCCCTGGAAAAAAATTGGGGTGCTCTGAAACATACCCGAGTCCCCCATCATGTTGAAACAGTGAAGCAAAAGGAAGATTCGTTTTCCTCGTCTCCCGTGAGAAATATAACTGGATGCCAATTTTAACCATGCTCTCTTTACCTGCCTTCAAGTCTGCCTTGGTTTTTTACGGGAGGTTGGCGGTGAAAACCCAGATAGGCTACTGAACAGTCAGTGTTTTCCAAGATGGCTTGAAATTCCAGCTCTCCTTCTCACGGGGGAATGTGAGTATAAACCACTCGACTTGTACCATTATTAAAGGAAGCAGATCTCCTAGAAGAAAGCACCTTTCTGGGCCTCTCGGACCAAACCAGAAGCAGCTGAAATCTGGCAACTGTTCAAAGGTGAGGTCATTCATGCCCCTCTGCATTCTCGGAGATTCCTCCCCATCCTTGCACATGTCTGCCGCTAGGTGGCAGCACAGCCTCAGGGAGGAAGGCCTCTCACAAAGACCTCAGTTCAGGCAGCCAGTCCCGGGCCCTGTGGACTTAGTGCAGTCCTGGCCAGCGGGGAGGGGGAGGGGGAGGGCGGGTGGCAAGAGGGGGCCCCTTTTCCAAACAGTTGGGAGATAGGCTGTGCAGATCACTGAAGGTGGGCCTCTGGAGCCACCCAACCAATGCCACGCTGCTGCCACATGGCCGTCTTAAGTATGAAGCTACAGGGGGCAAAGAGTCCTATCGGGTGGGAAAAAGGTTTGCGGGCAGGAAACCAGAGTCCAGACAGGACCCCGTGTCTATGTAGAGGTAACAGCCCCACCGGAGACAGGAATTCAGGCCTCCCAACCCTCTGACAAAGGGCCCAATTTGACTCTGCTCAAAAGCCAATGAGCTGGTATTTAAGTGAACAGCTACTATGTGTGGGTATCTTGAGACTCTAAGAGGTGCCTAAGAGGTGCCTAAGACCTACCTTTGAACTCCCGGTTCTTAGGAGACATGCCACACGCGTATTTGAGAATCATGTGAGAGGTTGATTTCTGTCTCGGAATTCAGCGATTGAAAATTTGGAATTTAATTAAAATATTTTATCACTGTGTTTCATGCCTCCTCTGCATACGTAAGCGGGCGCGCACACGCTGCAAATGAATCTCACCAACACAAACCTCCCTGAGCGAGGACGTTATTCACGGGTGGAGCCTCGCTTCGCACAGAGCCCAGCACACAGTAGGAACGCAAGGAGCGTCGTGTTAAAGAGTTCCCAGAAATGTGAAAACTTCAGTGATGGGTAATTTGGGGTCCTAAGGATTTGTTCTGGGAGCAGTGGCATCAAAGTATATTATTAGGATAGGGGACAGCAGAAAGGCAGGGGGGAAGGAGGCAGTCATTACCAGCAGCTCCTGAGGCTTGACGGAGTTGTCCGTGTAAATGCACAACTTCTCAGCGGTCAGCGGGATGGTCTCTTTGAGCTTGGAAGCCAGGAACATGCACACGGCCCCCAGAAGCTGCAGATGGGTCTTCGGAGTTGGGACTCCGGCCAAGAAGCGGTCCAGGTAATTGATGGCCAGAGGAAAGACCTCTTCTTCGCACTTCTGCTCCTCACAGACCTATGACACGAGTGGGACAGGGTCGGGGTCGGGGGAGACCATAGTATCAGGAAAAGAGGAAAAAAGGGAAACCGCACAATCTAGGGAAACGACAAAAATATTGAATTTGTCGGGGGGGAGGGGGAGGGGAGTAGAATAAGCGATCAGAGTGAAGGCGAGGAAATTGGGGTCAATCTGAATGGCCATCCGCGCTGGGGTCCTCCCCGGGAGCCTAAAAACTCACCGGAGAGGTGGGTTAAGGACCCCGAGGCCGAGGGCGCAGCAGCTCCGGCCCCGCCGCCCCCGTGGGCCGCTCACCGCTCCGCTCGCTCGCACTCACTCACTCTCTTTTTTGGATTTCGTCATCTTTTCAAAAAATCAATAAAAATATTCTGGAGGCTCCGGGGGTCTCGTTCTTGGTCTCATTCGGACCCCCAGACCCTGCTCTATCATTCCCGACAATTGAAAAAATTGTCGGGGGGAGTCCCCGCGGCCCAGGCGCCGCATTTGGGGGGGTGGGTGGGGAGAGGTGGGGAAGCGGGGGGAGGGCGGAGGGAGCCAGCGCCGCGCAGCCTGGGCGGCCGGAGTCGGGGCAGGGGAGACGGGTTCAAAAAATAATTAAAAATCGAGGAAATACCCCAGACAAGACCTTTCGCCGTGAAAACCCCACAGAGGACCCAGGCTACCCGCAACGGAGGTTTGGGGTGCCGGGAAGGTCTGGACCGCGACCCCTGGGGCTTTGGATACCGAGGGGGAAACTTGCAGGGGTGAGCGCGGCGGCGGGAGTGTCCGGCCGCGGCCCACAAGGGCAGAGGCCGGGGACGGTGGCGAAGAGCTGGGGGACAGACGAGAACGGGGAGCCGCCGGAGAGAGGCGCGGGGGGCTCCGGCCTCTCCTTCGGGGGGGACCCGCTATCGCCCCTGCACACACCTCCTCCCCCCTCCCACCCCACCCAGCTCTCCGCACCCAGGAAACTGAAGGCCGAAACGTAAGTAACCTTCGTGAGGGAGGGGGGGATCGGGGGCGAAGGCGCCATCAGAAGTGGGGGGCCGGGATAGTGGGGTGAGACGGGGAGCGGGCGACGCGTTCCAGCCTCTCCACCCCGAGTTTACAAAGCAACATGGCGAAACCACGGCAGGTCCGGAGCCGTGCAGACGTGGGCACACGGCTCGCTCCGCAAGGGTTCGGAGCGAGGGGAAAGAAGTGGTTCTTTTGGGTTCCCCGAAAACACACGTTTCTTCAGTGTGACTTCCGGGGCTCCTGAATTCCCCGTTTCTCTTCTCCCTCCGCCCTCCGCCCTCCCCCCTTAAGTGCCAACGCGGAGTCGCGACCACAGGCGGGGGGGGGGGGGGTACCGGGGCGGGGGGGATTTGCCCCGGGGCTTGGGGGGGGGGGGCTGATTTTTTAACTTTGGGGTCCCGGCTTCCCGCTCCTACTCCCTTCTTCAAGGCACCGAAAGCAGCCTCGGCTTCGCAAAAGACAGGTCGGGGTTTGGGGGGGGGAGGAGGCAGCCACAGGCAGGCACCCGCGCGCGGGATGCTCCCCCACCCCCGCCCCAGGACAGCCTCGCTGCTCCCAGATTTGCCTCCTCCCTCCTCCCCCCTCCCCCCGTTAATCTTGCACCCCGCAAGGAACAGAAAGGAAGCCACGCGTCTCGCCGAGGGCACGGGGTAACCTCTCGCGCAGCAGCGGGGAGGCGGGCGCGGAGGCTGCCCTCTCGCAGGTTAAGGGTCCCCGCGTGGGGTCTGGGGTCCGGGCGGGGACGGACGGTGCGCCTGCCTGCAGACCTACCTCCAGCATCCAGGTGGCCACCATCCTGCGCATGTAGGGCTGGATATCCTTCTGCACGCACTTGAAGTAGGAGCACTGGGGAAGGTAGCGCTCCTCGATGGTCAGCAAGTTCTGCAGCACGCGGTCGTCGTGGAGCAGGTTGGCGTCCGGCACGGCCCTGCGGACCGGGTCCACCTCTCCGCACAGCAGCTCCATGGCCAGCTGGGTGCCCACTCGCGCCCCTGCGATCTCCGGACTGGAAAATTGGGGGGTTTTTTGGAGGGGGGGAGGGGAGAGGATTCCCCTTACCTCCTTCCTTTGGCTAAGTAAGGGCTTTTCGGGGAAATAGCGAAGGGCAGAGAGGGAAGCTGGGGAAGAAGAGGGGAAAGGGATGGGCGGTGGGAGAGGAGCGCCCCGGGGGCTGCCGACTCTGCCTGCCCTCCCCTTCAAACTTGTCTGCTCTCCCCAGCTCGCTCTGCTCTCTGCTCTCCGAGGCAGTGACGCAAACTGGCTGGGCAGTTACTTCTCCTCCCTCTCGCCTCACCCCCCTCTCCGGTTCCTCCTCCCTTTCCCTCCCCTCCCGGTCCTCCCCTCCTCCTCTCAGTGTCTCCCTCCCTCCCTCCTTTCCCCTCTTGTTATTAAGGAGAACAGCAGCTGGCCCGACCAAACTTCAAACGCGGTCCCCCGCCCCCCGGCCCCCTCTCCTTAGCTCTCCGAGGCCCTCTCCCTCTATGCAGCCCCGCAAGCCAGGGGCCTCGGAGAGGGGAACCCACAAAAAAAACCCCACCGATTCCTACTTATTTCCTCTAATTGCGCACATTCTGTAGGTGCATCCTGCCAAAATACGACCCTCCGACTCTGGCTACTTCAAAACTGATCCTAATACTACCGCCCATGTATTTTAAGATCCAGGAATGACGGGTGGATTACTTGAAGATGAGGTGGGCTCAGACAATTGAGAAATAGATCCCTTACGTGAGAAAGAGGGAGGGCGATCTGAGAAAACAGCAACTTCGCATACCCAGAGAAAAAGGTTATGTCCCTGAAATTTATGTTCCTGATCATGTTGAAGCTGTTTCCAAAACCCGAGTAAAGGGACCAGAACTTCGGCGCCCACTCCAACCCCCGCCCCCGCCCCCCCCGCAGATGTGTTGGGGGGGAGGGGTGAGTGTCCGGAGGGAGGGGGCGCTTCTCCGACGTGATAGAATGTGACCCAGGAGCAGAAACCATCCCGTTCTTGGGGCGCCGCAGGCGCCACTGGGAGACGCGGGGAGGCGCCCCGAGTCGCCGCAGGCCGGGGGCAGGGCTACCAGCGGTTCCGCCGCGGCCAGCGGCCACGCAGGAAAAACCCGCTTCCTCGCCCTGCTTCTGCTGACAAGCCGCCCGAGGTGCCTGCGCCGAGCGTGGCCACACTGATACAGCTTTCTAGGAAATAGCCCGGGAGGAGGAGGGGAGAGGGGCGAAAGAGGGGTAGGTTTGGCTCCCCCTCTCTCCCCGGGCGCCAACGACACCACTCCTTCCTTTCCTCCGAGGCCCAAGAGTTCCACCCCGGGTCCCTCGCCTGCACCCTCGCGGACCCTCCGGGTTCACGCGTCGCTCGCAGCCAGGGCTTTCCCCCCGCGAGCGGAACTACGGTGGAGACGCAGCCAGTGCGGTCGGCTCTGACACGTGCTCCAATGCATCCTCGGGTCAAAGCCGCTTTTAGAGGGGATCTGGTGGCGTTTCCTCACCTCCTTCCTCCCGCCACCCCCCCACCCTGCCCGTCTGTGCTATTTCACTCCGGGAAGAAAGGGAGTGGGCCCAGGGCCCGCGGCGCGCTGGCGGAGCTGGCACGTGCGCCGAGCGCGGCGTGGGTAGGGTCTCTGGAGAGACACCGAGGTTGGCCCAGGACCTCCCTCGCGGAGAAAGGGGGCCCGAACCGGGGCGCGAGGGCGAGCGGGGGGAGGCGGGGGGCTGGGTGAGCTGTGAGCTCTGTTCGCTGAAAGGAGGGGGAGGTGGAATAAAGAGGGCGGACAGCGCATAACCCAGAGGTGCGAGCGATTAACCCTGGCCCCGGGGCCAGCCCCTTTCCACGAGGGTGGGGCGGAAGGGGTGGGTGGGTGGGTGGGTGGGTGGAAGGGGGATATCGCTTTAAAAGGGTGAGTAAGAGTTTGGGGCGCCGTCTCCCCTCCCTCTATTTGCATAGCCAATAGCTCTGGGTCTCCTGCTACTGCGCGCTGATTGTTACCGGGCAGATTACTTTTTTTTTTTTTTTTTTTTTTTTTTAGTAGGACGCGTTCCCCGCTACATCAAAAGGAAGCCAAGGAAGGGAGGGCGGAGGGAGAGCGGGGACTGGGGCGGGCGAGGGCTGGGGAGAGGCCGGGGCGCGGGCGACCTTATCAATAGCCTCGGGAATTAGTATCCAATCGACTGTATGTAAAGAAAGGGGAGGGAAGGGGCGGGCGAGGAGAATGTCTAATTGCGGTGGAAGCCATTAGCTTTCTGGAAGAAAAAAAGCTCGCTGAAAAACCCAAGTTGCAAACTCAAAATGAAACAGTCCCGCGCGGCGGATGACAGTCGGGGCTGAGTACGGTGTTCCTCGCAAGACGGCGGGTGCCTAACAATCACCTCTTGATTTCAGTCAACGCGGACTTCCCAACTCAGGCCTTGAGTCCCTCTGGGTAAATAAGTGAACTTAACATTTTAAGACCCCATAAAGGACTTACTCAAACTTCAGCTCAGCCACCTTTGAGCGGATCAAAGAAAGCTGTAGGGGTAGGGGGTGGGGGGCAGCGTGGGCGAGAGAGGTATTTTTAAAGTATAAATCTGCCCCGACAGGCAAGGACAGAAGCCGGCGAGGGCTCCCAGCCTCTTGACATCACTTGGTAACTAACCCAGCACGGCCTTTTCTCCACCTCCCTGCAGGGAAAGCATCCCGAGCCCTGGGTCCCCTGAAGAGGGGCAGCTGGGGGCGGGGAAGAGGCGGGTGGTCGTCCTCCGGGCCTCGCCCACCCTGGGGAGAAAACCTGGGTGGTGAGGCCTCAAGTCTCGGGAGCGGCGAGCCGAGGGGCCCCCTCTCCCCTTCCCTCCCCCCAGCCCCAAACCCGTCTGGGTTTACGGAGAAATTCCGGCGGGGAGCGGGGCCGGGGGGCGGGGGACAGACGGCTGTGAAGGGGAGGGGCGCGGGCGGATGCCACTCTCCCCGCCGCCCTCTCCGTCCACCCAGACCCGCGGGTGCGGGCGCTCCCCGCGTGGCAGGCTCGCCCCTTCAAGTTCCCCATTGACTTCCCCTTCCGATTACGGACTGTTCCCGAACAGCAACCTCGCAGCGAATCCGTCCCCCAGTGGTTCAGGCTCCAAGGCTCGGGGTGGGGCGTGCGAGGGTGCGGAGGTTGGCAGGAATGTCTCCGCGAGGCTTGGACTGGAAACTGAGTTTTCCCTTTTGGTCGCCACTCCGACCATGTGTTAAAACTTTAATTTTGCTTGCTAAAAAGCACTCCTCCTCGCACGCAGGAAAAGGCACGTTGCCTTCTGGGCAAACCTGCGCATTTTCTTTTGAGTGTAGCCTTAGGTTTAGAGAAAAAAACCAAACGTCTGTGCTCCGGCTTTTAAGTCAAAACTGGTCACTGTAGGGAAAAAACAAAACAAAACAAAATATTGGCTCTTCTTTATTCCTTTTAAACCCCTCAAGGGGGAAAAAAACCCACCTCCTTCCCTTTGTAGGATCAATGATAACCTTTAGCGAACGTCAGTTTTACTGGACTTTTATTCTCTCCCTGGCCGGCTCACCACCTCTCGCGTTGTGGAGTTTCGGTTGGAAAGTGTACAAACCCCTGTAGGTGCAGGGTGTTTATAGGCACATTTCTGCAGGAACCTGCAACGCTAAGCACACTTACGTCCCAGCTCACCTGGCGGATGCCGCCCAGCCAGGTGATCCCGCTGTCGGCTGCAAGCTTCGTCCTCCTAGGGGCGCTCTGGCGGGGTGGGGGGAGGGGAGTGAGTTCGGGCTCAGGCGCCCCCACCACCCCTAACTCCCCCCCCAGAGCAGAGCGGTGTATTTCTCCATTTAGGGATGGACGGGCAGTCAAAACCGAAAACCCGACGGTCGCTTGAAAGTAGATGGCTAAGGGTCCGAGTCTCGGCTCTAGGAGGCCAGAGTACCAGGAAGGAAGCCGAGGAGGTGCAGAAGGAGGGGACGGGAGAGAGCGGGAAGGGAGTGGAAGCAAATTAGAAAAATGT